TGTGTGCTAGGCCCTGAAGACGCCCTGTGCGGCGCCTAGCAAGGAATTTGCACATGGGTAGCCCCAAGTCGGCTGATGTCGGGACTGTGTCACATTGTCACTTGGCCGGGTGATAAAAAGGCAGCCTTTAGCTGGAGATCATGTAATTAATTTAAGCAACATCCCCCAGAGCCAGGGCCCACGTGGAGGGGTAATGAACGATGGCAACGAAAAGAGTTGGTCAAAGACGAGGGAGAGAAGTCAATTGGATGATAGGCAACACCCATTTCCCGAGGGACAGACCAGACCAGACCATCCATGATCGCAACCTCAAATCCCCTCCACTAGGTAAGGTAAGGTACCTTAGGTTGGGAGTCATTGCCTGATCCTCCCGATTTCAGGCTTCGTACAGACGAGGTGTCATTGTGTTAGTAGTAGAGCTTTGGGGTGTCAAGTCCACTCGATGCAATCATCTCGCTGCCCAACGAGTCCTTCATCATCATCGTGTCCCTCCATCCATATCCCTTATTCAGTTTGCATGTTGTCAACGCATGAACAGCTCAGAGACTAGCAACTAACAACTCATGTGACTCCATCACTGACTGACCACTACTAGCAGCTGAAACAGCACTTCAGACCCATTAGTTTGATAGGCATTGCCTGCAAGGAGGTTGAGGTACTCCGTACTTCCCAAGGTATACCAAAAACGTTTTCTCATAAATCCGTAAAATGAAAGCCGAACTCGAAGTGTCCATGTCCGGCTTCATTCTCGTCTATTGGTCCGTTGGCCACACCCTCTTTCCAACCATTGCACGTCAAGACCCTTCATGCATAGACAAATCAGGACGACACATTGCACCTACTGTCACTTTCAAACTGCTGTGAAACCGATCTTTCATCGACACTTGCACAGGTACGAAAATTATGCGATCCTTTGTTTCTAGAACTTTTGTCTTTTGTTTTCTTTCCCAAGTCCCTATCTTTCCGTACCTTTTCCCATCATTCCACGGTAGGTTGGTAAGCAAGATCCAAGACGCCTTTTCTCTTCCTCCAGGAGAACGACACCCAAGACATACACTTCATATTCCTTTTGGGCCAGACATCTCTTATATGGCAGTGTAAGTTACAATGAGGCAAGCAAGCTTGCTGTGCCTGATGTTTGCTCAATTCGCTATATCATTAAGCCGCGTTATCGTATTTGGCGTTGTGGGTGGAAATGGCTCTGCAACCAGACATTAGCAAGCGTGTTTCCTTTCGGACCACCAACCATCCAGCTCTGGGGATAGAGAAGTTACGTACCGGCCACTGGGGTCAGTCTGCTTGGACCAGGTGGGAGTCCAGCGCATGACGGTCGACGCGCAGTGAGGGGGGAAGTGCTCATCAAACATGCATCGATACCAGTAACTATTCATTGTTAGTCTTGTTCAACTGCACGAAACCGGTATCAACGTACGCCTCCTTGGTATCGGGAATATCGTTGCCCCACTCAGGCTTGGGGTTCTTCATCATCTCATCTGTCACCTGCTTCTCGGCGTTGTCCTTGAGTGCGTCGATCCAGCCGTAGCCGACACCATCGGAGAACTGTTCCTTCTGTCGCCAGAGGATGTTATCAGGGAGATAGGGCTGTTCGTCAGGCTCGTCCGAGGTGTCGAAAGCCTTGCGAATGATGTACTTCTCAAGTCTGTCCTTGGTGATCATTTTCTCTTGAGGATCGATGTTCATCGATGTTTCAAGGAACTAATACCACTCTTAGTTTCTGGGGAACAACTGATTTAATAGAGCTGAACTTACCTCCTTATCGAGGAAGGGAACACGAGCTTCAAGGCCCCAAGCGGAGGTGGACTTGTTAGCTCGCAGGCAATCAGCCAAGTGAAGGTTCTTGACACGGCGAACTGTCTCCTCGTGGAAAGCCTCCTTATCAGGGGCAGCGTGGAAATACAGGTAGCCACCGAAGATCTCGTCACTTCCCTCTCCACTCAGAACCATCTTGATACCCATGGCCTTGATCTTTCGTGACAAGAGATACATGGGAGTGGAGGCTCGGATGGTAGTGACATCGTAGGTCTCAAGGTGAAAGATAACATCTGAAAGAGCGTTGAGGCCATCCTCGATGGTGAAGGTCATGACGTGGTGCTTGGTACCAAGGAACTTGGCGACCTCAAGTGCGGCCTTGTTGTCCGGAGAACCAGGCAGTCCGATGGAGAAGGAGTTAAGCTGGGGAAGGTATGTCAGAGTATCGAGGTGATCATCATCGTCAACACCGACGAGACCCTCACCGGTGTCAGGGTTTTCGACAGGGAGAACGTTGCCGTTAGCCTCCAGAGCCTGTTTCCGAAGTCTGGTCACCTCACGCTGAGCGATGGATGCTGTCAGACTCGAGTCAAGGCCACCAGAAAGGAGAACTCCGAAGGGGACTTCAGCCATGAGTCGCTTTCGGACAGCTTTCTCGAGAGCATGTCGGAGAACCTTATAATCGACGGGGTTGCTGGGAACCTTCTTAGGGTCCCACCAAGAAGGGTTAAAGTAGCGAGTCGTCTCGCCAGTCTTCGAGTCGTAGACGTGACCGGGGGGGAAAGCAACGATCTTGTCACAAACGCTATGCAAGCACTTCAGCTCGGAGGCGAAGTAAACGGTTCCGGGTTCCTTGGAGGACCAGCCCTGGTAGAAGGTGGTGATACCAATAGGGTCGCGGGCCGCAATTGTGCGATCTTGCTTCTTGTCGTAGAGGACAAAAGAGAACATGCCATCGAGGTGGTTGGGGCAATCGGTGTCAAACTCGGTGTACTGCAGGAAATCCATTGTGAGCCTGTTATTCTTCCTTAAGCTATGCATGGATTAGTCCTCTTACCAGGGGAATGATAACTTCGCAATCAGATGTGGTCTTGAAGTGGTATTGCTCCTTGAGGGTCTTTCGAATGTGACGATGGTTGTAGATCTCACCGTTGACAGCAAGAATGATGCTGTCGTCGGCGTTGGTCAGGGGCTGGGCTCCAGACTCTGGGGGAATAATCGTTAGCAAATTAAAGGATGCGTCTATACCCAAGACTTTCGACTCACCAACACCGACAATGCTGAGACGCTCATGGCAGAGGACTAAACAAGAGAGTCAGAACCAGAAGCTTTTGTGCTTTGAAAGTCAATTGGGCTTACTAGTATGGTTGGCAATCACGCTTCCACCTGAACATTCGAGTTTAGTACTTGCGACCGTGAAGGCTACTGCATTGGTGCTGTTGACTCACTCCAGTCGGGGCCACGGTGACGGATTCTGCACAATTCAGGTTAATTTGGAGGGTTGTGCCTTGATCGACCAGTGTGATACATACTGCTTTGCGAGCTTCAAAGCCGTGGGCTTGAACTTTTCCACGTCAGGATGACTGTAGGGACGCAAAATGTTAGTCATGCCATGATTCTTCTTTTCCCCCTCCGACCGCGGGGTGATTTCAATTCCAATCCCAATTGATGGCGGGGTCCTCATGCCCCTCCAAACCACCAAAACAGATCCATGTTCATTTTCGCAAGGGAGGGAGCGTACCGGTGACAGGCGAAGATACCACACATGTTAGCGGTTTCTGGGATATGCGCGCGTTATGTGTGTATCACGAAGGGGAGTGCTTGAAGAAGAATGGTAGGAGGAAGAGAAAGGGCGAGGCAAGATTAATATTTAGCAATAGTTTCGGGCGAGAGAAAAAAGAGGAGTCATATGAAACTCCACACTCCTTCCGCCGGCACAGAACAGGCGATAAGTACTAAGATACCTACCCCCCATGGGTAGGTGTATGTAGGTACCAGAACAGATACGTAGTACCAACCAATACTTCACAGCCGCAAGGTTATTAGCGGTTAACGGCCGTGGCCGATACAATCATATGGAAGTCTTTAACTTGTTAAGGTTATCCACCAAATGCTCCGCTGCGGACGCGAATGAGCATCTCCCCACTATCATAGTGACCAGCCTGCCAGCATGAGTGAAGATGCCAGGCCAGTTCATTTGTGCTGTGAGGGTCTCGACAGCTCGACTCGTTTACTTCAACTGAGACCGAGTCTCCATCGTCCTCGCTTGTAAGTGGACAGAAGAATCAGTCCGCTGATAGATAAACGGCTTTGCGCTTCTGCGGCGCAATCATGTCAAGCCAAGCCAAAATATTTTTTGAGGTGTGAGTAAATCTCCAGGCCGATTTCGGCTTGTAATTCGGCAGACTTAATTGGCAGCAGCGAGTAGTCCAGCCCTTGAGCTTGTGCGTTCCCGGCCCAGTTTACATAAGCTCAATAACCTTGGACTTATGGACTTGATAAGGGGAATACAGCGGACATGCGGCTCTTGATTGTCACGTCACAAGACCAACGTTGACAGGCTCCGTACCTATGTACAGTAATAAAACCTCTGAACTGAGAGTACCTATGCCATCGAGACTGAAAATCAACATATGTTTATCAGGACATGCGAGATTCTTGATAAAGAAACTTTCTCCAAAACTTACATAAGGCAGCCCCATCACATATATCACTTAGCCTTCTCATATCAACTCCCCATCAACCCTTTCCCACGGCAGCTTTCACACGCGCAAGACAACCGCTCTCGTTTACGACGTAACCGAGTGGGTCGGGCATATCCCGACAACGCAGCCGCAAATGATTCACTCGCCGGTGATGACCCAAGAAACACGGATCGACAAGGGTCGTTAGTGGCTCTTCGACAGTCCCGGGACAAATGGTTTCTTTACGAAATGAAGACTTCAACGAATTTCAAAAAAGCGCACTATCGCAGCGAACTGCCTGCTCGTTCTCCAGTATAAAAAGGATCTTGATGACGTTGCGCTAGCACCTATCTCCTGTTGTATTGTCAACTCTCCTTGTCATACTGTGATATATAGCGTGTTTCCGTAATGCGTGGAGTCTACTTCATAGACTCTGAGTAACTTTCCGCCTTGGTATTTCCCTTTAAACGCCGTAGCCTGAGGTGCCTTACAAAGAAAAATTTGGTCTAAAAGGTCTCTTCTCTCCCAACGCCTCCGAACGCTTCATCAAGGTGTGGGGTTCTCACGAACCGTACGGCGAACTCGCTTCTCGTACTCGGCACGATCTCTCTTGAAAAGATTGTATGCCTCTGCTTGGGCAGGTGACTCGGGGTTGGGGTCGTTGAGAAGGTCCTGGATACCGAGAAGGATTTGTTTGACGGTGATCGCAGGCTTCCAAGCCTCCTCTTCGTTGAGGATGGACAGGCAGACAGTTCCTGAAGGGTACACATTGGGGTGGAACAGCGGGGGGACAAATTTGCCTATTTTTATATTAGCAAGGCGGCCTTCACACATTATGGTCGAGAGGGTATTACACTTGGGAGGCTTTGTAGGGTACTCTGCGTTGAACAAGTATTAGCGCGGTCCGAGCAATATCGTGTGGTGTTGGAACTTACCATCAGGGAAAGCGATGGTCAGCTTGAAGAGTCCGCCAGACCAAATTGTGTTATCTTTGCCAGGGATTCCGCATTCCCAATTTTTGACATCGAGTACACCTTCTTTGGTACGCTGTGGCTTGGCATAGAAACCAAAAGGATGGTCTCGTCGCCACTGCTTCCTATCGAGATTTCAGCCAAGTCCGTGAACTATTCATTACTAATCTCACCTCTCCTCTTGTAATCGGTTCTGGCAAAGCGCCATGATCCCGTTGTTCAACGATGTCAATTAGAGGTGGGACGAGGGTGACGAGGTTCGTAGGCGAAGAATATGAGAAGAAAAAGATTGTCGAGAATCGCCTGAGAGGTCGGAAAGCTGAGGTGCGACGCGAGTTGCGGCAGAATAAAGAGTCACTGGAGAGGAGCTTGCACAGCTCTAACTAATGGCCAAGCTTTCGGGTTGCCGAGTGAAGGAAAATGCTTCAGAGGGTAAATATCTGACACGAAAAGAAACAAATAGAAAGTCGGCTCGAAGGCGAAGGCGGAGGCGGGACCTATTGTTTGCGCAATCGTGCCCGAGGTACAATTCACGAAACGACGTCTTGTTGATGATTCGATGCACAGGCCAGAACCTGTTGTCGTTGGTTGAAAAGACGCCAGTCGGGGACATGGATGCTTTTCCGGCAAACCCCGCTAAGTGGTCACCTAAATGCCCAGGGCCTCACGCTAGGTCCGGGGGTTGATTTGCGCTGTTGCGGCTTGTTGACCTTCTGAAGCCTTTAGGTACTGTAGTGAGGGGCACTTTTTGAATCAAGTGGAAGACAGCCCGCCCGCTTGAGGTGCGAACCTGCTAGCGCCGCATCATAGGTCACCTCGGCTCAGTCATTGAGTTAAGCTGGAAGCGGGCGGGCATCGATCCCTCAGACGGGATTGCCCACGTACCAAGGTATAAAATCACTTACGGCTTGGTACCTACATCGCAAATCTTTGCTCTATTGACCTTGCGCCATCCTTGTCCTTTCTTATGAGGCATTGCCTGAACTTGGCTGACTTTCATCATTAATCTTACTTCATCCGCTTCTTTTGGCAGAAGTGGGGGCGTTCGAGTACTGGGAAACGAGGCAGATATCATCATGGGCGTGGACAAAGACACGGAAGTCGCCCTCAAGGAGGAGGTCACGGAGGGGCTCAAAGATGCTGCTCAAGAGGGCGTTAAAGATGAGGTGAAAGAGGGCAAAAAGGATGAAATTGGGGATACCACAGACCTCAAGACCGAAGCCGAGGCTGATGCTGATGCTGCTACCTCATCTCACACTCTCATGCCTGATGCTCCAACCGCACATGCTGTCGCCACTAGTCTAGCGACTCCCTCTCTAGATTCAAAGCCTCAGAACTCTGCCTTACACGAGGCTTCTGCTGAAGATACTGCTCCTGATGATGCTGTTCCTCAGGACTCATCATCCAAAGCTGCCCCGCAACAGCCCGGCCCCCAAGAAGCAGCCGCCACGACAGAAGCTGTAGCAGAGAAGACTGACGCTTTGCCAACCCCAGCACCAAAGGCCGCTGTAACCGTTGATGAAATAGACGAGGTTCCAGACCCGGACGAGGACGACTTGGATGATTTGGATGGTCGGTGAAAAGGCACAGAGATGTAAGGAAACCCAGCTGACTGTTCTTAGATATGCTGGAAGAGTTCTCTACCGTTAAGCTAGATCAAGCCAAGCCTCCTGAAGCTGCCGCTGCTGGCTCCAGTAAACCAGAAGCTCCCAAGGGCTCTGCTTCCGGCAAACAACCTGAAGTGGAGGATGCGTTCTCAGAAGATGAATTTGCTAGGCAGCTCCAGGCTGGCATGGCTGATCTACTGGGCGAACTTGAACAGTCTGTGCGTTTCACTTCATCTAGCAAGACCAACGAAAGTATGATTGCTGATACAATTACAGCCTGACATGCAAGCACAGTTTGAGGATATCTTCAAACACATAGCTGCGGCAGAAGGTGCTGGTGACGCGCCACCTCCAAGCACTTCCAAAGGGCCTTCTTCTCAAGCACCGCCTGAGGATGCATCGTTCCAAGATACTATCAAGCGAACTATGGAGCGCATGCAAGCTTCGGGAGACCAAGCTACCGCTGCTGCTGCCTCGGGATCCGCTGATGATTTCATGTCTGAGATGCTCAAGCAGTTGTCTTCGGGCGACCTTGGTGATCTGGGAGGCGACGGCAGCGAGGAAGAATTCTCCAAAATGCTTATGGGCATGATGGAGCAGCTCACTAACAAGGAAATTCTATATGAACCCATGAAGGAACTCGATGAGAAATTCCCTGAATGGCTTATCAAGAATCGTGACTCAACACCGAAGGATGACTTGAAGCGCTACGAGGAGCAACAGTCCATTGTACGAGAGATAGTGGCCAAGTTCGAAGAGAAGACGTACTCGGATTCCAATGCGGCGGACCGTGAATTCATTGTGGATAAGATGCAAAAGGTATGATTCATCTGCCTGTTATTCTCACTGGTGGGACCTATATCACTAACAAGTTGTCCAGATGCAAGCAGCAGGATCACCACCTTCTGATTTAGTTGGAGACATGCAGTCAGCCCAAGATGCCCTCAATCCAGGAGATGAAGCCTGTAACCCTCAGTAGATAAGGAACTTGGTTATTGACCCCAAGTCATCTATATACCCTTGCTCAAAATAATATGTGTGCACATATGACGATATCCACTGGCACTTTCTGAACGCCGTGTCCCCTTCCTGGGTTATCCGATTAACCCCAACGCCAAGCGAGCAAACGCGCAAAGTTGAATAGGGAAAAAGCAAGAGTAAAAGCAAAGAACCAAGAAAGAACATTATTGCATCTCAATGTCTCCAGAAGTATCGATCTGGTTTTGGAGTCGGAGCGGCTCATTTTGTTTGAATTGTTCTTGCGCTATGAGCTCGGCAAAGACATCATCATAGTCTTCGTCTGATAGCGGAGGCGAGGGTGGACGTTGTGAAGAAGCCATCCGCTGTTGCTGTTCCTCATAGGATGCAAACATCGCTTCGAGCTGCTCTTCCTCATCCATCATGATTTCATCCTCGTCTTGTTCCGGAATGGGAGGTTGCTCTTGGTAGAAAGTCATGGCGTCCTCGATATCCGCCTCGGTAATGTCAGGAGCGTCATGAGACAGCTGTCCTCGGTCGGCAAGATAATTTGTCTTTAGAAACTACGATTAAATTAGCAACATTCATAATACATCAAGGGATCTCTCCTTACCTGTCCCTCTATGTCTCTACGTTGCCAGGCCTTGTCTTCACGGCTCTGTCGCACATTCTGGAGGAAGACCTTCCGTCTTCCTTCGTGTAGCTCGTCCCGCTTCTTGTTCACTGGGTTTGGCCGAGTGGGACGCGAAGAGAATTTGAACTTTGGGGGCTTGATGGGAGAAGATTGAATTTGGCGCTGCGGACACACGTTTCTGTCAATTGGTGAGAGTGGCGATGATGCGCGCACAGGTGAAGAAGAGAGCGGCGATGAGACAGCAGGGCGATGGTCCCACGAACCGGAGAAAATGGGCGAGGGAGAAAAAGACATCATATTTCTGATATTTCTGATTGTGCAATTTTTGACGATTTTGCTGTATGAGATTGCAGAGGACCCATACGATCGATGTAAATGTTGGAGGGAGCTCAACTTAAAGAATTACATCGATTTCGTGTTGTACTTTGGAGATGCGTGGTCGTGTAAAGAGGTGACCTTAAACGCGTTACGGTCGCGGTCGCGCAGTCACATGACGTACCTAGTGTCTAAGGTAATTCGCCCCCGAAGATCGCACCCGGCCCAAGCCGAGCGATAGACGGAGGTTTGTCGGAATCGGCACACCCAAGCAAAAAAACTGTCAACTTGATTTTGGTTGACGACATGATCTAGTAAACTAAGCCTACCTACCTTATTAAGTCTGGTGTCTGTGGTGTCAACCTGTTTCTATTACTTTCCTGCTAGCATTTCTTTTCTTTCTCAAGAATGAACAATTCTATTTTACCACATACTATTTCTCCTTCTTAAAAAGTCCATCGGCAGTCAGATGAACGCCTTATCTGTTTCGGCCTTTGCGAATCGCATCGCCACTCGATCATGGACCTGTTCGACTTGTAGAAGTCAGTTGGTCCGAAGTAAGCCCTTGGGGGGTCTCAGCGCAAGAGGTTTCGCATCGCGGAGAGGCTCGAGGAAAAGCAATGGTCACAAGTCTGGCCCTAAACGACCGCTATTATATGCCTCGGCTGGTGTTGGTACCGTAGGCGCGACCGCGCTTGCGTTCACCGACGACATCAAGAGTAGTTATGAGGCGGCAGAACGTACAGGAAGAGTTGCGGTTGCGCTCGCCGTGTGTATCAACGAGTATGTGGTTACTTGTCATTGGGTGCAGGCGGTACGAAACTGATACTTCGAGTAGTTACCGGACAACACTGAACGCCAGAGAAGCGACAGCGGACCATGATGCACAGGAGAGCATGCTCAAGGCATGTCACAAACGATGCGCCGAACGGACTCTCGTTGTGTTGGAAAAGAATGGCGGCATCTTTATCAAACTCGGCCAGCATCTGGTATGACCTCTACCAACTTCGGAGCTCGAGCGATCGGACTAATTACTACGCCAGAGCGCCATGAATTACCTATTACCATCCGAATGGACAAACACGTTCATCCCCCTGCAGGACAAGTGTCCTGTATCTTCACTTGAGTCGATCGAAGATATGTTTCGCAAAGATACAGGAGAAGAGCTTTGGGACTATTTCTCTGATTTCGCCCCTGAACCAATTGGCGCTGCCTCCCTTGCTCAGGTACATCTGGCATCCATCAAGGGGTCAAACCAGAAGGTTGCTGTCAAAGTTCAACATCCTGAGCTTGAAGCATGGGCACCGCTGGATCTAGCGCTTACCCGGTACACATTTTCGACCCTGAAAAGATTCTTCCCCGAATATGATCTTGAGTGGCTCTCTTCTGAGATGGATGTTTCTCTTCCTAAAGAACTCGACTTCCAAGAAGAGGCCAACAATGCCCGACGTATGAAGGAGCACTTCGCCAAGATTCCACAGTTACCCCTGATTATTCCCGAGGTCATCTGGGCCAAGAAGCGAATCATTGTTATGGCGTGCGAAGCGGGAAGCAGACTCGACGATCTGGAGTATTTGGATAAGAACGGTATTGACCGAGATGAAGTATCTGCCACGTTGGCGCGTATCTTCAACGAAATGATCTTTGGTGATGGTGCACCCCTGCACTGTGATCCTCACGGTGGCAACATTGCAATTCGCAAGAACAATTCCCGCCGGGGCCTTGGACGAGGTCCTAACTTTGACGTGATTCTATATGATCATGGTCTTTACCGCGACATTGAGCTTCCTTTGCGAAGATCATACGCCAAGATGTGGCTTGCGGTTATTGATGGTGATATGGATCGAATGAAGAAATATGCACATGAGGTTGCCGGTATAGAGGACAAAGATTTCCCACTTTTTGCATCAGCAATCACTGGTCGAGACTACAGTATTGTTAGCAAGTCTGGATCTATCCTCGAGACTCGAACAGCGGATGAGCAAAAGACAATGAGCGGGGCGCTGCAGGAGGGTCTCATTGTCGACCTCGTGCAGCTTCTTAGCCGCGTGCCTCGTATCATTCTTCTAATCCTCAAGACAAATGATCTTACCCGAAGCCTTGACGAGAACCTCCAGACACGGCAGGGTCCTATACGTTCGTTCATGATCCTCGCACGATATTGCACCCGGACCGTGTTCCACGAGAAGCTTGAAGAGATTGGTCAAAATGGATCATTCCTCTGGCCGCTCAATGCTGTGCGTGTGTTTGTTGCATGGGTTGGTTTCATGCGCGTGGAGATCAAGTTAGAGGCCTTCGAACTTTGGCTATCAACCAAGAGAATGTTGGGCCTAGGCAGTTTAGAGTTTTCAGGCGCGGCGTTATAAAGGTGAAAGATGACAACGAATTAGAAGATATATCGATATAGAGTATATATATACCTTGCTGGCATGGCACACAGAGCATATAGAAGCCGGCCGCAGAAGGTTCATGATGCAATGCATTCATATCAAGTAATAATCCAATTGCGTTTCAACTGTACAATCATGCTGGTAGCCAGTTCCGGTTACTTACTTGTTTCCTACTTTCGTAACTCATCGACATGTTAGCTCTATGAGAACAGCCCAATCAATATGTCTAATTTCAAGGTCATTGGCATGATTCATTCTCCTTCTGCCTCTTTTTTTTCTCTCCTCATCTTTCCGCTAGGTTAGCCAGTTGCCTCATCTTTGCTTTCCAAATAGGTTGATATTCTGCACTACAGACCATCTCTCCATGTTATCTGTACATATTGAGTCTAAGAAGAAAGGCAATGGACAAGGAGATCTATGCCTATACCCTTCTCACGAAAGTACCAATCTCTATTCGATGACACGCAAAAATGCCGTGTATTGGCCTCCCTGCTGATTCGTCAAGTTCATGAAATGTATGGAATTGAGGCACAAGCTGGACACAGTCACAAACAGAATCAGAAACAACTTCTTCAAAATATGTAGACTATTTACTACATGTCCTATTCTTGGCCTGAGATGGTATTTTCAAATCGTCATGTCAAGCTTATTATACAAGCGTCATTAAACTTGGTGGTTCTACCGGTACTGAATGAGGCCTAACGAGGGCTAGGATGACCCCAATGAGCAACAGGCGACTGAAGCTGCAAAAAATGGTGGTTCCGCCCGGGATCGAACCGGGGACCTTCTCGGTGTTAACGAGATGCCATGACCAACTAGACCACGGAACCTATCCGTTTGTGAGTAGGGTGAGGCATAGGCGGCTCATTCCACCGGTTCGAAGATGCCCCCGGGACGACGATAGTACTAACTAGTAGGTAGGGTTGAAGTAATCACTACGAAACTTGAGTTAGTAATACAAACAAACCGAAACAGGTGTTCTAGAAACCGCAGGCTTTCTTTATCATCGGGTAGTAGAGGTGGCGCCATCTCGTTCACTAAGACGGCCCCGGTTCGATCCTGGACAGGCCTACCATTCTAGTAGCTTCAGTCACTTGTGTCATGTGTTATAGATATACAGAGTACATAATGGTGGTCTTCTTTCTCCCTTTGCAGGAAATGGTGCTGTAGAATCAGTGGCTCAGGAGGCTGATAGTCATACATAAGCCTGAGTCAGTATGTGACCACATTACGATCACCAAACTACCCACTGAGGTGATGTCTTGCTGAGATAACCATGAATAAGACAACCAAGTGCGGATGATAGACCAACGATGCCCAGGCTTAACAAATTAAATGCTACATCTAACACCTTGGATATAGTATCGCTAAGATATCGTGTCTTGTCCATCCCAACTCCGCGCCATCCCATGTTAATTTTTCAAACCTTTCATACATGAACCGCATGAAAGAACGAATCCCGCTCTGCGCCAGCTTATTCAAACGAACCCTTACCCAATAAGCCACCCACGACTCCAACTCTCCTCTCTGCCCCTTTAATCTTTCTTTCTTCTCTTTTTCGCTCACTCTGTTCCAGCTTTGCTCGTCTCTCGCTGTCACGAGCAAAAGCATGTACACCGCTCTTCTTGCTGGCTCCCTTCTTGATCTTGGCCTCCTCCCCAAATCCGCTCGCTGGTGCTGGTGAACTAGAGCTTGTTGTAGAGACCGTGCCAGATACAAATGAATTTGTAGTAGCGCGGCGAAGCAGAGCGGGGACTTTGAATGAGGAGCTTGATGCTGTTGCAAAGGCAAGGCGGCCAGTGCTAACGTTGGAAGAACCATTGCGTTTTAGACTGATACGATCAACGACAGCAACACGGCCACGGCGAGGGTTGGAGGTATCATTCTCCTTGTCGCTGCGAGTTTCTGTGGTCGTATTTTCTTCGCCTTCGCTGTCTGAACCGACTTCAGTTGCGGGGATAACTGAACCATGGGGTTCTTCCAACAGATCGGACAAAGTTTCGCGAACTTCACCGATGTTGGAGGGCTTCTTGCCATCCTTGGTCCTACGCAGATAGCTAGGGACCCTGTTACCAGTAGGACCGAGAACCTTCTGAGGTTGGCTATCAGGAACAGTCTGGGCCTCGCGGCTTTCATCCTGAGACTGGGATTGTGAGGACTCAACAATCTCCTCTGGTGCATCCAAGAAGTCCATTTCATCATCACTGCCACGATCCTCGATCGTTCGTAAGAAGGCCTGATTTCCGGGGTTCTCGGCTATCTTCTTGACACGCTCGTCGGAAAATAGAGCTTTCTGCATTTTAGCAAACTGTCGACGCTTCATTCGACGACGGGCCTCTCCATCATCGTCTGAATCGTCAAGGTCGTAGCCTGCACCTCGCTTACGGCGAAGCATGCCAGTCGTGATGTCCTTGAAAAGCTTCTCTACCTGCTTTTCGTCTTCTGCCTGTTCTCGAGCGCTATGGAATGTCAGTCTTGTTGTAAATGATTCGGATATAGTACCTACGCGTATAAAGCGGCGAGTTTGGCTCCGTCAATGTCGTTACTAGCAGTGTCGTCTATGATGTCCTTGAGTGAAGCGGCAGACTCATTGTCACTGTCCTCGCCATCTGCACCACCCAGCCCAGCATATTCATCTTCGGATTCCTCGGCTTGTTCCTGAACCATCTCTTTCGCCTTGCTGTTTTTGTGGTCAAACTTCGGTTGGAGACGTTTCTTATGTTCGTTCTTGGCACCCTCCCTCAACGCTTCAAAAACATTATCAGTCTTCTTTGCCGATGCCGGCTCTGGCGTTTCCTGAATGCGTTGAGATGTCTCCATTCTGCGGCGAAGGCGGCCACGGCGGACGAGTGGTGAAGCTTGGGTCGGGTCGTCCTGATCGACCAACATGGTCTCTGTAGTCGAAACTGGTGCCTCGACAAATCTGCTCTTTAAGGGTGTTTGGTCTTGGAGCCCACCATCCTGAGTGAAATCAATCATTTCGGAAATTTGAGTGCTCTCTTCCCGAAGCAAGCTGTCCAGGCCGCGCATCTGAGACTGAGAAAGGTCGAGGGCGATGTCTTGAGTATTCTTTTGGCTGTCAATCTTTTGACTGTCTACGATCACGTCCTCCATGGGCTCGTCCATGGTCGCAGAGAAGTTGGAGTCGGGAAAATGATCGAAATCGGGCATCAAAGATTGGGTTGGACCATCTGCAGAATTCATTTGGCTGTCGTCCATGGTACCAGCGAAAATCTGCGTGAGACCGAGACCAGCCGGCCCCTGTACCGGCAAACCAGGGATAAAGTTCTTCTTCGCTGAACGGAGGACTGATCTAGGTGCAGTTGGAGATTGGGTGTTTGGGACTGTTGGTGACATGTGTACAGTAGTTTTTGGTCTCGGTGTCATCTCGACTGCGTCCTCCTCCTCCTCGTCGGAAAGAACAATAGGCTTTCGCAGTCGTCGATGTCTCGTGGCAGGGAACTCTTCTATATCGTCTTGAACATCTTGACTGGCGACAATATTTGCATCTTCATTCTCATCAGCAGAGGCCTCAGACTCTCCATCTCGAGCCTCGACTTCGACCATGTTATTGCCATCTGTTTGCTCCTCGTCACTGAGTTCCTCCTCATCCTCAGACCCGGACAACTCGACAACTGATCCTTCTCCGTCGGCTTCGTTTCCAGATGCCTGATACTCGTCGTCCTCGCTGTCATCCCAGGCCAAAGGGTCGACTTCGCCATTCTCCTTCGCTTCCTTTTTGGCGGCCGCTTTCTCTTTTTGCCTGATCATCTGTGCCTCCACTCTTGCCCTAGCGACGATGTCCTCAGCGTCTTGCATTTGACGCTCACGCTCTTCTGCGGTCTGAATAACGACACCTTGAGCCTTTAGCAGATCTACTCTGCGGTCACGCTCTACCTTGGCTTGCTGCCGGGCCTTCTGATATAGATAGGCTTGGAGTTCTCCTGCTGTCATGCCGTGGTTTTCGTTCTTTCGCCTTGTCTCCTTGCCGGGAGATTTTAGTTGGGCAAGAGCGCGCAATGCCTGAACGGAGCTGTGTTCTTGTGCTTTCTTTGCTGGCGCCATGTCGAATACAGCTCGAATCTTGTCTTTGGTGGTGGTAGTAATCTCCAACTCGTCATCCGAATCTACCATAGTCACGTTGGCCCTCACAGGTGGGAGCTTGACTCGAAATTGGCGCCTCGAGTTTTGAACGGGCTGCTCCTGTTCGGTTCGAATGTCCACGGCCTTCCCCTTTCCTTTATCTGGCTTGAGCCTGGTTGTCTCAGCCAGACTGTCTATAGTTGGCAAGTCGAATTCATCGTCACCAGCAGCGGTTTCTGGATCTGTAACGGCCGTGGCAGTCTCTTTAGAAACTGGCGGGGAACTCGGTGGTGTATCGGCATCCTGCATCTCAACATCGCTGTGTGGTGTCGGGACCCTGCTCGAGCTGGCCACATCTGGTTCTGGTTCACCAGCCGGGCGAAAGTTGAAACGCTCAAACAAACTGTTCTTGGTGATCTTCTTTCGTGTCTTGGCTTCATGTGCCAACTGCATATTTCTCGACATTCTCTGAGTTTCTCTCTTCATCTCCTCGATGGCCTTCTTGCTGGCTTTACGAGCACTGGGTCGCTCGGCCTGTGTTAGTCGTCGGCCGCCTTCATCGTCGGTAATACTGGAATTATCGTCATCCGAGACCATCTCTTCCATCTCCTGAGCGACTTTTTGTTGCTTTGCCCGTTTTTCGTTCTCTATTGCTTCTTTAGCGGCATCTTCGTCACGCCTCTTTTGTCTGCGGCGCTCCAGCATCGCTTTAAAGCGCTCGGGTTTGGGGGTAGGCATATCAACCTCTGAATCAGAACCATTATGTATAGATCGGGTTGGTGAAGTTCGAAGAGGCGATGATACGAAAAGTGCTGGGCTGGAACCACGAGGGGTGCGTTTCGAGGCTGGCGATGAAGGTGCCTTGCGAACTAATCTCCGACTTGCAACAGGAGCGTCATCCTCTTGCGATTCAACATCGGGCATACTAATATTGTCTGCCTTCTCCACTTCTCCAGTCGCCTTCTCTCCTGGCTCGTGAGTCTTCGCTATGCGATCCCCAGTAGTTTCTTTTTGCAAAGAAGACGAATTCCCGGACTCCTTTTGTTGCCATGACCGTTGCATCCTAGCCGCCAGCTTGCCTCGTGGCCTATTTATGACATTATCCGATTCATCGGACGCTTCATGATCAGGTAGGGTCTGAGTTGGTAGGTCGAGGTTATTTTTTGAGTGTTTGCATGTGTATTGGTTTGAAGAGGATGCTTCGTCGTCACTACTCTCAAGAGCTGCAAGCTGTGCTCTGAATCTGGACTGTGGTGAAAGTGGTTCGGGAGTTCCGCCCTCCAAGGAGTGGGATGCGGTTCGTGGGGGAGTAGCCATTGTGATATCGATGGTAGTTATGATGTAGATAGAAAGTGGTCAGCGAAAAGGTGGGAATAATGAGTAAATTAACATCTAGTCCTCGGGAGTGAATGATATTTTTGACATGAGAGTGGATGTTGATCTGTGAGAGACTGAGGATGATGGAAACTCCCAAGTCTAAGTGGTAGTGGGGAGCTTAACGCGACGCGCGGGCCATGGAAATGCGTTGGCGTGGAGAGACGCGTTGATACGCATCAATCACGCGCAAAGTTCACCAGCCACAGTAAAATTCAATTAACACCCCTGAGCTCCAAACGTCTCAGAGGTCCGTCCGTAGGTATACATGGCGAGGGCTAGTACTCCGTCAACATCTTGGATACTGCAAATGTCACATATTTATATCGTACTTTCGTATATCATGAGGAGAATGGCACAATTAAATTTAGTTGGCTATGCGGCTAATTGATCTCTCCTCCGTTTTTATAAAAGTTTTTGGTTTTTAAATACCAATATGAGCATCCGGTAAAGACTGTCCTATAAATATCCTCCCTCTATTTCAATCAATGTCAAGAGCATGTAACATATGCATTATGACTAGAAGAGTTTGTGCTCAAGAGTCATGTCAGATTCCGGCTCGAGGCCAACGCAAGCACGGAAAATGTTGGTCAGAGCAGCGCGCTGCTTAGCCAGTGCATTGACAACGGGAGTGCCAGGAGGGGTGAGAGGAGCCTTCAGCATGTAGCTAAGGACGCTCAGGACGCTGTGGAAGCTCTTGTATTCGGTAGTAGCAGTACCATCAGAAGATACAGCCTTCCACTGGATACGAGACATCATCTCGGCAATGATGACCAAGTCAATGATCAAAGGAGAGGCCAGAAGGGAGTCCTCGCAGATGTTGAAGAGCCTGATGAAAATGGTCAGTCGCAGTCTATCATGTTCAAAATCTTGACATTAACTTACGAAATGGTCTGGTGACCGCCCATGAAAATCTCGGCATAGTATTCGTCCAGAGCACGCTTGTTGTCGGCAACAGCGGGCATATACTTGATCACAACGCAGTGGTCAGGGTGCTCGCCCTTCTTGTACAGAACGTGGTTGGCCTCGACCATGTCATCAACGACGTTGGACTTGGAAATTTCCTTGGAGCGGAACTGCTTCTGGGAGCTCAAGTTCTTGCCATCGTTGTTGCCAAGATGGTTGTAGCTGGCAATAGATGTCAGTTTAATACCAGCGTTGATGAGGAAATCAACCAGGGCGGATTTCATCTTGGTCTGGCCAGACTTGAAATCATCACCACCAATGAAGGCATTGTGCTTCTCGGCAAGCTCGATAGCGCCGGGGACGAAGGTGTTCTGTGGGGAGCCGTTGATGAAAGGGGCGTTCTCAAGAATACAGGCAACGGCAAAGACAGTTGAGGGGGAGACCTCCTCGTGGCCCTGCTCAATGGCCTTGAGAAGGTTGTCTGCAGTGTCGTTGACGCCCTCAATCAGGTCGGCATATCGCTCAGTATTGGCAGTCCACATGATGATGACCTTATCAAGGCCGTTCTTGGCCTTAAAGTCACGGATGTCCTGGCGGATCTTCTCAACGTGAACCCAGCAAGCCTTGGAGCCCTCGAGAACGTTATCAGCACGGTCCTCTTGATTGGCAGCAATGAAGTCTGGGTAGTAGATGGAGGGAAGGGGAACCATCTCAGCCATCTCCTTCTTGACCTGGGCCTTGAGGGTAGGCTCGAGGACCTGAGCACGATCCATGGCCTGAGCCAGGTTCATCTTGCTAATATCCCATCCGCCAATGACAAGGTCGTTGGGGTGAACCATAGGGAGAATGTTATGGAAGGGAATGTTGACCTCCTGGTGGGTCTTGGCATCATGGCCGAGCTTGAGGGTAGAGCCCATAACAACAGAGCCGTAGTAGTTGGACTCGCGGGGACCCTCCTTGGTATCCCAGGCGAGCTGACGGCGATTGGCGAGGATGCCAGCGGTGACGGTAGTGCCGTTGTTGCCTCCGAGGCCAACCAACATCATGCCGACCTTGGGGATCTTACGGTCGACCTTGAAGTCATAGAGAGTCTCATTTGGAGTGGCAACATACTTGCCGTTAGCATCAACGTCAACCTTGGTAGTGCGGTAGGTGTATCGGGAACGAATTTCCGCATCAGTGTAGGTGACGTTGGGGGAGTTGACGGTGAAGAGGTCCTGAGTAGCTGAGGAACCTCGGCCGTTGTAGACCGCCCCGTTCGAGGAGCCCGTGCCTACTTCCGCGTGAGGAGCCATGATGATAAAAGGTGGCTTTACGTGGAAATTTGCGAATTGATTGAGATTGGACGGGTTCTGTTTGAAATGTGACCTTTATTGTTCAAAGGTCGAGTCCGCTGAGCCTCCGGAATCGGCTGAGCAGCGGGCTCCTGCGAACGGGTGGTGCGTCCTTTTATAAGGTTAGCATCTGTCATTGTCTTTCTTGGATTCCATTATATGACTTACGAGTTAAGGAGATTGGAAAACGTCTTGACGACTGTAGTGACCAAGGGTCAAGGCCTTGGTCTTTATGATAAGATTATTTAGAGGGGGTTGTTGATGGCGGGGTAGCGGGGTAGATAGATGTCAGGAGAGAGAGATGTTAATAGAAAATAAGTGTTTTAAAAGAGTTTGGATGTGTTGTTTAGCTGATTGTTAGTTGACGAAGGTTGTTGGTGAAGGAAAAGAGAGAGGAACAGAGTGTCGTTCGGGGATGGGGAGGGTTCAAATATGGCAGACTCCGGGAGACGTACCTTACTGTACTGCCACTTTTCCCTCGCTTAGGTGGCTGTCGTGGACGTTCGGGCGGTGAGGTTTACAAGGAGCCAATAGTGGAGTAACCATATTCTAGCGGCTGGGGACGCGGAGAGCTCGGAACAGCGTGTGTATTGATGATGTTGAGCTACTGTAAGCTACTGTATGTTTTCCATGCATGTCTGTGGACACCTGATGCTAGCACATATCCATTGAATTCCTAGAACCGAGGAGAGGTATGGATAGCGTCTCCATCCTCCAGATTTTCCCGCGTTTCTCCCACGATTTTCATCCATGGAGTTGGGGTTCAGTTGGCGGAGACAGCTTCAAATCAGGACTTATGGGTGCACGGTTGACCCCGATTTGTCAAGGGTTTTCTTTCCTTTCCCTCTGGTCAATATGAGAGTACGGACGGAGTAAGCATGTTGTACTAGTTGTTGATATTTGTTGAATATGCTTGGTTTGCCGAAAGCACTTTCGCAAACAACTGTCCATGCTCGTGCAGCTTAACCCTGCCTTGTAATCCTCCCTCTCCCGCCCGAACCATTGGCTCGAGCCCCTGACGCTGTGCATCTCTCTCAGCATTCGACAACTTGACTTGACCTTTCTTAACCCGTGCGGGACAAAAGCGGTGGGCCTGTCTCTAAGCATAATAAATTGTCTCATCCGATACTGTCGACATCGTCCAACTTGATTGGCTCTACCCGGGACCTTCGGTGATCATACAGGTTTGTCCTAATGTTGTTGGGTTCTTCCGTAGCAAAATCAAGAGCACAGGGTCAAGCTTGAACGGGTAAAAGGTCTTGTGTATTACAGACTTTATTAGCCGCCGATGACTTGTTGTAATAACTATCAACGAGTATTGTATCTTTGGTGTGGCGATAAGCGTCTCTGGATATTTCTGAAATTGATAAAGATTTCAGCAGTCTGTTGACGTCTGTTCCACGAACGGTGAGACCTATTTGGCAAGCAACGTTCGAAATTGACTCTGATTAATTAAATATCATCTCTAACTAGTGTAAAAATAAGCAGGAATCAGAGGGATTTTGGATGATGATTCCGATTGCTCGTAGCATGTTGCGTGCATTCTTATCACAACGTGGACTTGCATTGACTAGGTAGGTATCCAGAGCCTTTGAAACAATTGGCTTACGATCTTGACCAACTGGCGAGGATCATCTGTACAGTCACTCGTTATCTCCCGTCGCTGCCTGTCGTTGATTAGCCTCGATCAACCGCCGACGTTAGCCCAACACCACGACGCCCTGGAGCCTTTAGCGGCTAGAGGGATGAAGGCACTGGATATTATCATGGCATGACATAGCTCTCTGAGAAGGGCCGCAATCTTCAATTGTATATCTTGAAGCAATTGTTCTTCGCGTCGGCTGGTTGGGAAGTAGCTCCATTCACATGTGTAACCAGGAAGTGCAGCAGAAAGATACAATGCCGAGCCGAATACCCACATGGCTTCTGTGTGGTGTTGAGATCGTCAGAGGACCCTGGCCTCTACAATGTCGTCCCTCACCGTCTAATGCGGGAGAAGCTGGTACAAGTACATTCGGGTCAAATCGCCTTGTGGGAGCATCAGATGAAGACGTGAAGAAAAAGTGGGAGTCAGATACTCCAGCCATTTGAAGTGACACTCGAGGACAGACAGCCAGACCTCTTGAACGACGGGTCCCATGACCATAGTCGCTACATACTGACTGACTATAGCACATTCCGAATTCTGGCTTCCCATGTCTGGAACCCGAAGGAAAGCATAGCTTTCTCCGTCCCCAGGCTGTTGTCTCAGCAGTGATTTTGAAATAAACAAGACATGTCAAGTTTCCGTCTATGTGTTGGCCATATACCACAATATTTGCAGACTTGATTCAAATTCAGGGTCCAGAAATCGTTGCTATAGTTGATGACTTGTTGACGCATTTCTGCTTTTGACAGACCCATGTGCCCGAGACTGGCCACGATTGCCGATCGACGATCACGCCTCAGAGACTACTCCGGTCTCAGCCATGCCATAATGCCAAATGATTGCCCTTGGAGAGCCCTGAATGACGTGCCAAAGCCAACCTTATAGGCAGACGGGCCAGGGGTAACTCTCCAGCTCATGACTAGCTAGTCCAAGCTAAAGTATCCTGAACTTGAAGCCATTAAAGGTTTGATAAGGAACTGGTAAGGTGATTTCGGAGGCTCGTGTCGACTTGGCGCATTACACTTGAGGGTCTCTGACAGACTGAATGAAATTCTTACAATATCACCAGTTACGAATCCCATACTGGTTGATGGAATCAATTGACCGATAGGCATACGTGTTATTGGATAATCCCCCCACGCCTTTGATAAGGTCGATAGCAAAGTGTTCCTTAACAACAAGGCGTCTTGAATGTGTTGGAAAACCACCAAGCCCCCTCCATCACGGTTGATCACCAGGGGCAGCTCATCAAGCCCGCAAGCATGTTGATCGATGGACAATATCCGTCAACGATCGTGGCGGCAGTTTTGCAAATCTTCTGGTCTGACGACACTGTAAGTTTCAAATTGTGGCGCCCCAGCTAACGATCTATTGAAAATTAGGCCAATGCATGGCTGTCGGATTGATTGCAGTCCGTGGTCATGGTCTATTAATGTCGTAGCGGGTTCTTGATCTCCCGATCAAAGACCTGAGACAGTGGATCATCGCTTGTAGCCTGGTTTCCTTCTGCAAATACCTAGTCATAAGAAGGGTTGTATAGTAGATCATGCCCGAAGTACGCAGGTAGTCAAGACCTCACAAAGCAAACGGGTGCACTTGCGTTGATCCATCATCTGCATGAACAGTGTCATTTAAACACGAGATATACCTGCTGTATTTGGTGTATGGTGTGAAGATCAGCCACGATTCACCCACCCACGGCTTACCCACCGAACACTCGCATTAGACGAGCCGATAGTACGCAATTATCATTGGATGTGGTCGTGTTGATTCAATCCAATACTTGCAGGTCGCACCCATAATTCAGCTGTGTTAAACACGAACTATACGTGATAACTAGACCATGTTTAAGGAGTACTCCATATAAGCATGTCTTATACTCCGTAGAAAACTTGGCGAGGAGTAGTCATGCAGAAGCAATGCCGTCAGAGAACACAATGATTTGCAGAGACGGATAATTACGTAGCAGTGGTTATATTGCCAGAGTTGTATTCACGATAGCGACAGGCGGAGCTCTCACACCACACGGCGAGTAATAAAAGAAACATTAAATGAGGCAGATCCCCTTTCGGTGGACATCTGTCTAAAACGAGACTAGTTTAGTAGATAAGCCCCTCCATTGGACAAAGCTGCCTGCAAGGTACCCGAGTTGTCGACGGTTTTCAGTGGATCTTCTTGACCTTATCCATGGGCAAGGCAACATGGAGTGGATATTGGCATCAATGACCAGGTTAAAGAGAACTTTCTGTGGCGTTTATCCCATGACTGATTCGGATGAGGCCGGGCTCAGTCTGGCTCAGTCTGGCTCGTTTCTTTGGTTCTTCGCTTTCGATTGCTGCGTTGTTCATTTCGAAGAGTTTATTAGAGCATCGGACTGCTGGCCACTGAGCTTGACGCATGCAGGAGACTGACGTGACGCAAACGAAGGAATAAGATGGACGCAATCATTGCTTATGTTGAGGAGCCAATTGCGGGCTAAAATCTACAAGAGGGACTCTTCCGCTTTAGATTATCATCCTCCAGACTCATCTCATGCATGCAAACAAGCGGCGGATGATCCTAACCGAACAAAGACTTGTTGCCCTTGTTTCCCCATTTTCACAAAGAGGCATGCAACATTGATTGATTAACAAGCGAGACAGCAAACCCTTTTTGAGGGATCCATGGATTTGGACTTCATCGGTGTTCCTACCAGTCTTTCGGCCCTCCCTCCAGATCGATAATTGAATTCATTTTCCGTGATCCATGTCTCATCGCCCTTTTGGCCCCTCTTCGGGGGGAGGATGCACGCTGTCTTGGGCCCAGAAGCTCCAAGGAAGCATTTAGTTCCGGAAAGTTTACTGGAATATCGTCTTACCGTGTTACTGGAGACTGGAGTCAATGGAGTCCCCAATGATCTAGTCTAGGTAGCTAAGACAATACGAGAAGAAAGTCTGTTTAAGTTAAAGCAGTAACAGCCACTTGTCAACATCCAGAGTGCTGGGCCATTTCGACAACAATTCACAAGCAACCTACTGATAGAGAAGTGAACGCTTCTCTAGAATAAAGTCAAAAAGGTCGTTGTTCTCGTTGTCTTCAGCACAAAACACAAAGCTCCGTAGTGCCCGTGTCGCAAATTCCACACCGCACACACCGCAAACCCGTCAGTTTGCGAACCGTCCTTCACCAACCAGGGGGGCCTAAAAGGACAGGAGACAGGGTGTCTCGGCGAGCGTAACTTATTGACTTATTAATGAACAAGGGCACCAGCACCAACACCAGTACCAACGCCAACCAGGGTCGGGCTCCAGGATAAGCCTGCATCTCAAAGGCC